TCAGGAGAAATATTTTCCGAGTTAAGACCTAATTCTTGGGCTGTTAATTCATTTTTATCAATTTTACTCAAACTATCTTTAATTAATTGATATCCAAAATTATTATTTGTATTAGATATAATTTTATTATTATTATGTGTGATAACTAATTCACCATTGTGAAGAGAGATTTTTTTAATTTTATACTTGTGAAAAAACGACTTAATTAATTCTTTTTCTAAATCAGAGAGGGGGTTTTGATTTTCATTTTCGTTGGTTGTCATTTCCTCCTCTTTGTCGTTAGGATTCGGCTCTTGTTCTAGGTCTGTTAATGTCTTATTTATCTCATGGAGACTAAGGCATTTTTGACTAGTATTGAAAAAGAAAGTTCTTAATTTGCTTCATTCGGTCAGTTGAGAACTACTTTTTTCCTTGATATCGCCGTTGGCATATCAAATGATATAAATATCACCACCTCCTTCTACGATTTGCTGGATTTGGTTATCTTGAAAATATTTTTTAAGTTTTTGGAAAAATATTTTTTTGTCTTGAATGTGTTTTGCCGTTTTTTTATAATTCAAGAACGATAATTTATCCATGAAACGCCATCTGGTTCAGGCCTGGCGATTGTCTGTTTTCTTTTTGTTGTCGTAAGTCGTTTCAATGGCAATTCTTGCCGCCTTATCTATACCGATTTCTTTTTCAATTTGAGCGGAAGTTTCTGGACCAAAAGCCACTAGTTTATTTAAGACATTAGATTGATAATCGTTTTTTAATTTTTGCTGACAAACGTTTACTTCATCACCACAATTATCGCAGAGATTACATTCGTAGACGTTGGTTTGCTGACCGCCTTTTTCACGCACTAAATCACTCGCACAGTTTAATTTTTTTTCTCAATATTCTCGGGTTAGCCTTTCCAATTCCGGAATATTTTTTCCTCCCTCTTGACATTTTTGATAAGCCGCGTTAAGTTTTTGACGGAGAGAAGTCGAAATATGTTCCATTAGAAAAAATTTCTCAATAATTTCTTTTTGAAATTCCGGACCCTCTTTTACTCCTTTTAAGGCTTGTTTGGCATTATCGTCGCCATGATAAATATCGTAATAGACAGTATGAGCAGTTTTTTCTTTTTGACAAGCCTCGCATAGTCCTCAACGAAGATTGTGGTGATTTTCACAAGCAAGATAGGAAGTAAATTCCCCTCAGTCAATTTGCTTATTACAGCCAATTACTCCACATTTGTTAACTTTACCTCATTCAAATTTTTTTGTCATATCAGTATTAATTTATTTTTATGTTAATAAAAAGGGATAGTTTTCCCTTAAATATATTTTAGCAATTTGATAACCAAAAACCTCAATATTATTCGTTAAGGATTAACTTCAACTTTAGGCGTTGACCGCTTTTTAATAGGAAAAACACTTTTTTTGGGCTTTTTACCGAACAAAATTTTTCAAACCTCTTCATACTCATCGACAGTAACAATTTCTAAATTTTGCCGAACTTCTTCAGGAATGTCTTCGATGTCTTTTTCATTAGACTTGGGGATTATAATCGTTTTTAATCCGCTGCGATGGGCGGCAATGGATTTTTCTTTTAAGCCCCCAATCGCTTCCACGTGGCCGTGAAGAGTAATTTCTCCGGTCATTCCCACTTCAGTAGAGATGGCTTGACCGGTGAGAGCCGAAATAATGGCCGACGTTAAAGCAATGCCGGCACTGGGTCCTTCTTTAGGGACAGCACCTTCTACGGCATGAATGCGAATTTTATTTTGAGAAAACTTTTTGGGGTCAATACCAAATTTTTCACAATTAGCTCTTATGTAATCTAAAGCCACCAAACAAGATTCTTTCATGATATCTCCCAAATTACCAGTGAACTCAGGTTCTCCTTCTTTGCGAGGATAGTAAGCCACCTCAATAGGCAAAATATCCCCTCCGTAGCCCGTTCAGGCTAAGCCAGTTGCAGCTCCAATTTCCGGATGCTTGCGTTTTTTAGTAAATTCGTGGGGTTTTTTCAAGTATTCTGGCAAATTTTCGGGAGTAACTATTAATTCCTTTTTTTTGCCCTGAATAAATTGGACAATAAATTTTTGGACTACAGTTTCAATTTTGCGGTTCAATTCTCGCACGCCCGCCTCACGAGTATAATTTCTTATTAAGTGTTTAATGGCTTCGTCAGTAAACTTTATTCTCTCTCCTTTTTCGTCTTTAGTAATAGAGCGATATTTCTCCAAAACGACAGGAATGCGGTAATCTTTGGCAATATGAAATTTTTCGATCTCCGTGTAAGAAGAAAGGTGAATCATTTCCAGACGGTCTAACAAAGGAGCCGGGATTTTTCAAGGGTCGTTGGCAGCACAAATAATAATGACCTTCGACAAGTCATAAGGAATTTCTTCTCCTAAATAATTATCGATAAACTTTTTATTTTGCTGTGGGTCAAGAACCTCTAATAAGGCATAAGCCGGATTTCCTCGTCAACTATCTTGCCCAATTTTATCTAACTCGTCGATAAAAAGGAGAAAATGCTTATCACCAGCTTTTTTGGCTAATTGGATGATTCGGCCTGGCATAGATCCAACATAAGTGCGGATATGACCTTTTACTGTCGCTACGTCGTTAACCCCGGCTGCCGAGAGAATGACAAATGGCAAACCCAAGGCTTCGGCTATGGATTTAGCAATGGAAGTTTTTCCCACTCCTGGTGGGCCTCACAACAAGAGATGTTTGCTAGCCGATTCTTCTTCTTTGGCACTTCAGGAAGCAGCCAAATATTCACAAATTTTTTCCTTTACTTCTTCAAGTCCATAGTGATTTTCGTCTAGTTTTTGGCGAACTCGGACTAAATCTTTGGTTTTTTTCGTTTTTTGTCACCACGGTATATTAACAAGCCAATCAATATAAGTGCGGATCATGCTAGCCTCAGTTGAACTAGGATGCATGGCCTCATAGCGTTCAATTTCCTCGTAAGCAGTTTTTTTTACATACTCTGGATAAGGTTCTTTTTCCAAACGCTCCAAATGTTTTTTCATTTCTCCACTGCCATAACCACGAGATTTTTTGAGTCTCCTTTCAATGGCTTTTTGTTTTTCGCGCAAGTATCACTCCTCTTGCTGTTTTTTAATTTCCTCTTTAGTTTCTTTTTCCAAGTCCTCGTCAATTTTTCGTCGATCAGGTAAGTTAATTAAAATGTTAAGTCTTTCTTGTAAATCCAAAGAGGCCAGGATTTTTCATTTGGTTAATTGGTCGATTTCACGGCTATTTTGGGCGATAAAATCGATTATATTAGTAACATTACCCCGCATCATAGTCATATAAGGCAACTTGTCGACCGCACTCAATTTGGATTTTTCCAGAATTTCTGGGAGATGACGAACAAATCTCTCAGTCAATTCATCCAAGGTTCTTTCGTCCAATTCTTTTTCTGGCAAAGTTTGATATTTGCCGTTTCAGATTTCACCCCGTTTTTCCAGGTCGGTTATTTTTATTCTTTCCAAGCCCCGTAATTGAATTTCTTTGAGGGAATTGAGAAATGGCTCCAAATCGGCCGTGTTAGCAATATCCAAATTAATTTTAGCCAGGGTTCCGAAAGGCACAAACTTCTCTTCGGGCTTACCAGTAATTTTTTCCTTATTAGGAATAACCAGCAAATAACCTTGACAATCTTTTCAGGCCTGCAATAGTACTTTCTTTCAATAAATATTATTCTCTAAGGGGAGAAAGTTATCACACCGCGGAAATAAGAAAAAGTTATCTAACAATAAAATAGGGAATTCAGTCATAGTTTT